AAATAGCTCTTGGTGTGCATATTTTTACATATGTTTAAGTTTGTGTGTAATCTTGATAGAATTTCAAAGGTACACATTTAAAAATCAGAAAAAGGGCAGATAAACATAATTTTCTGAAAATGCTATTAATGCATCGGTACTACGGAAACTGTCATTACAGCTTTGAGGGCGGTTTCTTTGGATTTTGTCAAGCGATATACAAGGAATAGTTCAGAAGACTTTCAAAGAATTGTCTTTTTTTTAATGCAGAAAAGGAGTGGTTTCAGGCTACTCCAAAGAAGCATCTCTGAAGAACGAGTAGCTGATATTTAACAGTCTTCAAGCTGCACTTATTATAAAGCTTATAAAATCGTACCAGCCTTTCATTCTTTCCTTATGGGACAGAACAAAAGCATCAGGCTGTTAGCTAGATATGACAACCAACACATTCAATATTTGATACAGTTTTTATTATTAACATCCTGGCCCTTGATGTAATGAACACTACATCAAAATAGAAACTGCAAGAACGAAAGATTTGAATGTGAAAAATGAGAGTGATAGATCTCATAGCAGGAGAATGTGGCACATATTAATTTACCAAAACCATTAATGATACATTTCAAATTTTGTAATCTAGAGCAGGGGTGTCAAACTCAATTTCATTGAGGGCTGCGTCAGGGCTGGGGTTGACCTCAGGGAGCCGGGCGGGTGTGGTCGACTGGGTGGGTGTGGCTAGTTTGACACCACTCCCCAAACTGCTGGCATGTTTCCTCTTTGCATTGGATAGACTGGGCCAAGGCCAGGCTGGACCGATCTTTCCATTCGCATTGGGTAGACCAGGATGGCTCTGTGGGTCGGATCCATCCACATTGCAGGCTGGGTCTGGCCCGCAGGCCTTGAGTTTGACACCCCTGATACAGAGGTGGTATTCAGCAGGTTCTGACCAGTTCTGGAGAACCGGCAGTGGAAATTTTGGGTAGTTTGGAGAACCGGCAAATACCACCTCTTGACTGGTCCCGCCCCCATCTCTTCTCTGCCTCTCATTGAGTCCCAGCTGATCAGCTGGGTCTTCCGTAGTTGCCCTGCACAGGAGAATGGAGCTGGAAAGCAGGTTAGTGGGGTGGGGAGGGAATAGAGATTTTACAGTATCCTTCCCCTGCCATGCCAACCAAGCCACGCCCACCAAGCCACAGCCACAGAACCGGTAGTAAAAAAAATTGAATCCCACCATTGCCCTGATCCAAAGGTTAAAAAGGATCAGCCCAACAATTTTCTTGGATCTGATACAATCCAACAACTTGGACTGGAAATAATATATTCCAGTCAGGTTAAGAATGTGCCCCTTCCCAGCCTGCAACTGGATGGATATTCAAATAGCGTTATCTTACTTAGCAGTGTATTTCACACCTGGATTGGGGGGACTGGCAAAAAAAGATCTACCTGCCCCCCCAACTCTGTTCCACACACTCTTTGCTCACCCGGGGCAGTGGGTTTTTTTTTTTTGTGAGAGGGTCTTCTGCAGATCCTAATTGTAAATGTAGTCAGAAGGTCTGCCCTGACACGATTTCCCTTATTAAAGTTCAGTGGAACAGGCTATTTACCAGGAAAGCTGTGCAGTTCATTAAACATCCTAAATGAAAGTATCCACTTTTAATAGGTCAGTTAACTAAGGAATACCAGAACAACTGATTAATTGAGAGTAGACATCTAAATTGTGGATTACTTTGTATATAATTTATGAACACATTTTGGTTTTTAATATTTCTTTCTGAAAAGCAGAGGTATGGAATTCTTTTATATTGTTAGTCCTTGTTTTGCTTCTTTTACAGGGAATTGCTGCTAAATAATTACTATGTAATAGACCAAGTCATTGTAATTAAAAGAGTGATAAAATACATGTAAATTTAAGGCATCTTGCATTTTATCTTTTATGAGTATAAAAATATTTTGAGTCTTGCCTACTTCATTTGCTGCTGCTGCTGCTTCTTCCATGTCTAGATCAAGAATGAGGCCACTTTCTTGGCTTTGTCGTTGGCCAAAAATAAGTCATTATCGGTACAGGTTTCTGGTAGTAGCTAACATACCGGCAGATGGGCCAGGCTCTGAATCTCTCCACATTCATTCTCCACAATTTATTTGCTGGTGCGCTGCTTTCATATTAAATGAGTCATAGATCCACAAATTCTATGCTAATATTCTTCTTCTATTACAGTATGATAGGTGGCTAGTATGAGGCCATTGTTCTGACCAAGGCTTCCTGAGACCATAATAAGCACACCCTTAGTCCAAACAACTCTTGTTTTATTTCAATGCTGGGAATTCTGTTCATTCCCAGCCCCTAATGAGTCCCAAACAGTCTCTCGAGATAAGCACCCACCTTTATCTCCTTTGAATTGCTGTCAACAACTAAGGTGCCAAATTAACTGTAAAAAAAAATCCGTACAAAGTCCACACAGAGCTTCAAGGTTTAATCGGAACAGAGCAAATGACTTTGCTTCCTGCAAAGGTTTCTCTACCTTTGCACCTTCTTTATACCTTAGGGGAGGGGCAATCACCTCCAAGCCTTACTCCCAAGTTGCCTTTTTTGTCTCAGCTGTTCTTGCCTTCTGGCAGCTCTGCGCACATGCGCACTGGGAACAGGCTCCCCTTGTTCCTCTGCCTCGCTGCTGTCAGATTTTGGAGGCTCCGGAGTCAGCACACCACTCCCAGATGGTCCTGTCCTCATCTCTGCATCTGACGTAGGACCCTTGTCCGAGTCCTCACCAGACTCCCGGACTGGTCCCCGTTCTTCCCCACTGTCCGATTCTGCTGCCGTCTGCACAGGCTGCAGGCGAACCACAACAGCCATTAAGTAGGTTTGCATTAATAGAGCAGCCACATTCAGAAAGGAAATATGAATTCCACATTATGAAAAAAAAAAAAAGTAAAACTGTCTGTCAAAATTGCTCTGTCAGTGGGCAAGATATAATTCATTTGATTAAAGCACACCTTGCATTCTTTGGGGCAGGGGTTCAAAACATGCCATCAAAACATCAGCCCCTTATATGTGTCAATGCTAAAAGGGGCTGGGCTGCTTTGGAATTTTGATGAATTGAATGGTAATTATTATGTAATTGATATAGTCCATTACTAGATGAATCTATTCCAAAATTAACACCATGGTATTACAACTTCCTTTTGGTGCTTTCCAAATATTATATTTTCCTAGTTCTTTTTTTTTTAAAAAAAAGGCAAAAAGGGAAAAAAATAAAACAAACAGGTAGACATGTAAACAGCTTTACAAAGATCATAAGAAAAAAGTTAATACAGGTAGCCCTCTACTTACAACAGTTCATTTAGTGATCATTCAAAATTACAACGGCACTGAAAATTATGACTTATGACCGTTTTTCATAGTTATGACCAGGGGTGGGATTCAACCAGTATTACTACCGGTTCGGTGACCACGTTTTGCTGCATGCGCGATTTGCTACGTTTTGCTGTGCCCGCGTGTAAAAAACCTTAAGCTGTGCCACCCGGACAGCTGAAAAGCGCTGCGTGCAGGTGTGCAGCATTTGAAAAGCCTCTTTTTTCCTGCTTTTTCAACCTCAGCTGTGCCGTGCAAAGCAGCTGAGGTTGAAAAAGCAGGAAATAAAGGACAGGTAAGAGCCCAGGTGGGCCAAACAGCAGCAAACACAGAACTGGTTCGGTGTCTGCTGCTCTTCAGAGCTACTGGTTCTATAGAGCCAGGCAGAACCGGTAGCATCCCACCCCTGGTTACGATCCTATGATCATGAGATCAAAACTCAGATGCATGGAAACTGGTCCATATTTATGACCTTTACTGTGCCTCGGGGTCATGTAATCCTCTTTTGCAACCTTCTGACAAGCAAAGTCAATGGGAAAAGCCACATTCACAACAACCAGGTTACTAACTTATCAACTGCAGTGATTCACTTAACGACTGTGGCAAAAAAAAGTTGTAAAATGGGGCAAGATTCACTTAACAAATGTCTCCCTGAACAACATAAGTGTTGAGCTCAATTGTGGTCATAAGTTGAGGACTGCCTGTACCTCTTGTGTTAAGTGTCTGCATCGATTCTCCTGCGTGTTTCAGGTTAGGCCCTTATCATGCACAAATGCTTCCGTCCAGGAGACAAGACTCTTCACAGGTATTTTGCAGGATGGAACTCACTTTAATAAAGAGATTATCCAAAGACAATAGGAGAATAAATGCAGGCATCCCAAACCAGGCATTTTGCAGTATTTTAGCGGTAGTTTGTATTGGCTCAAGCATGCTAAAATTAGTAAAAGCGTAATATTCGTTGCTTATTAATGAAATATTCTCTGAAAATAGAATGGTAATTTTTTTTTTTTCCAGATTGCATGGGTGTCCATGCATTATAAATAAACTCAGAATTGCAGTGGCACATGCATGCTTCTGTAACATTGGAGTGGAGCTATTAGACACATTGGCTGTGTGGATTCAGGCAGGGGTGGGCTGCTGGGGGTTCGCAGGGGTTCGGGAGAACCCCCTAGCTAAGATTCTGTGCAATTCAGAGAACCCCAAATCCCACTCCTGGCTGGCCCCGCCCACCCCCACCCCTCTCCTCCCAGGAGTCCCTACACGACCCGGTTTGAATGCAGGTAAGTACAGGGTGCACGTGGAGGCTCAGGGAGGGTGAAAAATGGCTCTCCTGGAAGTTCGGGAAGGCCGGAAATGGGCCCGTTTCCAGTTTCCAGAGAGCCTCCGGGGCCCGGGGAGGCCATTTCCGCCTTCCTGGAGGCTCGTGGAAAGCCTCCGGAGCCTGGGGAGGGCAAAAATCTCCCCCCCCCCCACAGCTGTGGTGCAGGAGGCTGATTAGGCCACACCCACCATGGCCACACCTACCCAGCAACCGGGCAGAGAACTTTGCTAACATTTTTGAAGCCCACCCCTGGCTGTGTGGATTCAGGGCCTTCTCCTCTTGTCCTGGAGTTTAGCTGGCTAACCACAGTATGTGTGAAGCACTGAAGACTATCTCCTCCTTTCTTGGCAGGCAACCTTGGTTTTATGGCTGGGGCTTTAATCTTCCACGAGGCCAAGCGCTCTTAGAGAAATGGAACCTAATTCCAGATGGAATAGACATTCTTATTACACACGGACCACCTCTTGGTAAGAAAACACTGGAAAATGCTTCTCTGGTTCAGTTTATATGTCTCTGCTGTGTCCTTGGGGACAAATAACAATTCTGAGTCTTTACTTTTTCCATGCAGCTCTTCAGATGTAAATTGGTGTGTTTCTGGGGTGCTTTTTGCTGAAATACACTGGTAGCCCATGTCTGCTTATTGCCATGACATTATTAAACTCTCTCGATAGAATTGGCCTTCGTTAATCCTTGGGAAATAAAATAATTCAAAGTTAAAGTTAAGTTAAATTTGCATTGCAAATATTTAAAATGCATCTCTTTGCAAGTGAACACCATATCTGCCAACTCAAAGTTTCTACAAGTTAATTATCATATTTCTCAAGTTATCAGGGCACCATTAGATACCGTCCAGGGCATTCACAGCCAGTGGTAGGCATAACATGGCAGCCATAATTAGTGTCTGAAGCTTTGACTCTTTTACGTGCAACATGGCTGGGGCTTCAGACCAGCTATTATCTTAACTTTTTTTTATACTCCACACTGCAGATGCCCCTAGATCAGGGGTCCCCAAAC